AATCATGACCGTGGTGCGGCCGTGCGGACAGGAGAGCGTGCGGAAGATCTCTCTGCTGTTAAACCGCCGCGCTGTGCAGACATTCGAGCAGCTGATGGCAGATGTGTCCGAGGCGCTTGGCTTCCCCTGCTGGAACAACGCTCGAATACGACGACTCTTTAGCCCTGCTGGGAAAGAAATCCACAGCCTAGCCGACTTCTTCCGCTTTGACCATGCGTTCCTGGCCTTTGGGAACAGCCGACCGTCTCTTGATGAGGTACATGCAGCACTAGATGAGTTATATCCGGAAAACCCTGGCCATTGCGAACATCTGCTGAGGGTATGGGAGCGTATCCTGAGACCCAAGGCCACTAAGGCAGATAGTGGTTTCCATGATGACGACGCCGGAGCCGAGATTTCCTTACCTACAGTACATGATCAACAGGTAAACCAACCAGTTGTCAACAACTTACAGCCTGTTGGAAGGCAAAAAGAAAAGGTGAAGAGAGAAAGGCAGAGAGAACTATGGAGGAGGAGAGGTGACCTGCAGAAAGAAGATGAGAAGAAGATAAAGAAGGAAGAAGGAAAGAGAGAAGCTGTTTACTGCCGGAGTTGTCGAGGATGCGGCCCTCCTATACCTCCAATCAGTAGCAGTCGATGTTCTCAATCGGACAGGCCAAATAACCACAGTAATAAAAATACTTCATCTCAGAATAACATGGAAAAAACACAACAAAGATCATTGAAAGCAGAAGAGCATGTTGCCAATACAAAATCAAGCCCAACTGTTCCTCAAAACCGGGATAAAGATAATTTGGTGACAATTACTGAGCAGGACATTAATAAGCAGGAAACAGTTGAACAGAAAGACTTACAGAGTAGCATATTACCTGATGGTGCCGAAGTGTCGCTGGAGGACATTGAGCGCTGCTATGACATGGGCCGGGTGGTAGGAGATGGGAACTTTGCGGTGGTCAGGGAGTGCAGGGTGAGAGGCCTGGCTGAAACATTCGCTATGAAGATTGTGGACAACGCAAAGCTGCAGGGACGTGGTAACATGATTCAGAATGAGATCGCTCTGCTGTGTAGTCTGGAACATCCTCGCCTCATACAGCTGTTTCGTTCTCATCACACGGACACCCATGTTTACCTGCTGATGGAGCTGGTGACTGGTGGAGACTTGTTTGATGCTATCACTCAGAGCGGCAGGTTTACTGACCCAAGTGCTGCATGCATGATCAGAGACATCAGTCAGGCTCTGGAATACATCCACAGCAAGAGCATCGCACACCGAGACATCAAACCTGAAAACCTACTGGTAAGAGATAAGAGTTACTCAAGATCAGTGTTATTTTTTTTTTTTGGCATTTTTATTTTGATAGGACAATATAGCAGTGACAGGAAGCAAGTAGGAGAGAGAGAGGGGGGCAGGATCGGGAAAGGTCCACGAGCTGGGACTCGAACTCGGGACGCCCGGAGCGCAAGGGCACTATATGTCAGCGCACTGCCCACAAGGCTATAAAATCAGCGTTATTTTAGTGTTATTTATATACTATTATAATATTTAATATTTTGAATTAGCTTTTTTTTATATTTTCTGTTTTGGTTTTTTAATTTGAGTAATTTTGTTATGTGTTTGTCCATTGTAATAATTTATTTATTAAAAAAAATTGGTGTAGGTGTAGGATTTTCTTTGAAACAATTTTCAGTCAGAAATTGCTATGATTTTACAGTTTGAAATTTTGAAATAGAAAGACTGAAATAGTTTTTTGTTTGTAAAACACTCCAATAATCTTGAATTTTTTTAATTTTGAAAAATAATTTTACAGTGCACATATGGATTTATTTAATTTTTATTTAAATTATTTTAGTAACTTTTTTTGTAATTTTAGTACTTCATCATAAAATCAACTTTCAGTTAATTGCAACATTTCTCATTTTAGTTTTTAAGATTACATTTTTCTCCAGTTATTTAGATTTGATTTTATTTCAGCTTTATTTCAGTTACTGAAAATGATTTTTAATCGTTTTAGTTTTAACATTGCTTAACACTATAACACTGCTCAAACATTATTTCATGTTTAACTACCAATAATTTTAACTACATTTTAGGTACAGCGGCATGGCAATGGAAGTTTGAATCTGAAGTTGGCTGATTTTGGATTAGCCATGGTGGTAACAGAGCCAGTGTTCACAGTCTGTGGCACACCTACATATGTTGCTCCAGAGATACTTGCTGAGACAGGTAGGATCTGTACTTATTTAGAATAGCTGGGACTGGTTGGACACAGAAAACCTGAGCTACAGCTCTGTCCTAATCCTCAAACAAGTACTTTGAGGTTTAAAATGATTAGTAACATGATCTGACACACTAACATCTGACATGATATTTCAAATGTTCAGCTATGCATATGTACATGCCTATGTATGAACAGGTTACGGTGTTGGAGTAGATGTTTGGGCAATGGGTGTCATACTGTTTGTGCTGCTGGGTGGGTTTCCTCCATTCCGCAGTCCAGATCGTAATCAAGAGGAGCTATTCCGTCTCATCCAGAAAGGAGAAGTCCACTTTCTGTCCCCTTACTGGGATAATGTGTCTGAGGGTGAGATCTCTAACATTTGAAATAAAGATATGCAAATAAAGAGATTTAAGGGTTAGTTCTTTCAAAAATGGAAAGTCTGTCATCATTTACTCAATCCCAAGGTATTTTTACACTCATATGACAGAATTTTCATTTTTTGGTTGAACTATACCTTTTAACCCTTCATATCTACTATAATTTAGATGCTATAATCTAGAAATATTACAAGTGCTGATGTTTGTGTTTTGCAGGGGCTAAAGCTCTAGTCAGGGCTTTGCTGGAAGTCAATCCAAAAAGGCGTTTGACAGCTAGTCAAACCCTGCAGCACGACTGGCTTCAGCATGCAACAGCACAAAAAGACCATAAGGGGGCGATAAAAGCCACTGACTCCACGGCTGAGAGGCGCAACCAGCAGAAACTGAGCAGACAGGTGGAAAGTGGTGAAAATAAGAGTGATTCTCACAAACCAGAAATGTTGGCAGAGAAATATCATGCAGCACAAACTTACAAGAACATATTTAATAACTATGATTCAGATAGTAAAGCTCGTGACAGAGACCAGCAGATTCAAGAGATTCATAACACGACAAGCAACCAGCAAAATGCATCCCATGCAGAAGACACCACCACCACGAACAAGCAATATACCACAGATCAGCACAAACCTGAGAAACCAGCACAGCAAGAAGACACTGACACAAAACAAGAGTGACCTGCTGAGTAATGAGTTAACGGGCAGTGAAGAAGCCAGCGTAAACAAGGGACTAGTAGAAACCAATTATATATGAAAAGGCTAATAGAGTCTGGACAAAACAAGCTATGTGAAACATAAAGTGGAACATAAACACAACATAAACATAACATAACAAGCATAATGCTCTGTAGTAAACAAAGTTTAGTGTCTTCTCGTACTCTCAAACCTACACATATACTCTAAGCACTGATTCTGACTGAGAGTTCACTGTTTTTGACCTGATGACAAGGCTCAGATGAAATCCAGTGTAAATATGATTAAATGTATTAAAATGAGCTTATAGTGCACTCTTCCCGGTAGCTTAAGGTATAATCCAATATTTAAAAAACAAACTTGAATATCAGAATTCTGTGTCATTTCTGTGTGTGCTTACAGGTCACTAATGAAATGATACGAGACATTAAAGTAACTATTATTACGAGATATTATTTACTGACTAGAGGCAGAAAAGCAATTTATGTTGTATTGTTTTTGTATGTAAAAGCCTCTGGTTATTCTGTATTTTCTTCTTAATATGTGTTATTTAAAAAAAAAAAAAAGACATTTCAATATGGAAGGACTAGTTTTGTTTTTAATATCAAAAACGTATCGGTCAATCTCGGCCTCTGCCAATGTTTGTGGGAAAGTTAGATGTGCAGACTAGCTAGTAATAAACGAAAAGTATTTAGTATTATTTGTTTCCCATGTCTCATTTCCTGTATTTATATTGCACATCTTCAAATCTGTTCAGTCTTTTTGTTCTGCAAATCAGAGGTATTTTTGAAACATTATGAGTATTGTGTAAATGTTTTAGACTGTAGGCTAACACAGTTAAACTTAATTAGCTGTTTGGTTACACGTTCCTATAATTTGGTGAGTAAAATAATGTTTTATTTTTTGATGATTTATCTTCTGTTCACCTTTTAACACTTCAAATTTCTGAGATATCAAGTGGTTCAGAGGTAATTATTAATGAGTAAAGCCTTTGTCCTTGTCAGGTGACTTCAGTCCTTCAACCTTCATGGTCGCATGTCTGAAAGCCCAAAGAAAGTGTAAAATGTGGTATTTTAAGTGTACTATAGAGTGGTATTGTAATGTGCATAAACACTTTATTAATATCAGCTTCATTACTAATTCCTTCTGTATTACATTGCTGTATGCATATTATTAATACATATTTTTTGTATCCAGTCCAGTAATCAGGAAGACACATACAAACACACTCCCATCCCCCCCTGAAACACACACAGCTCATTCAGGCTGGGCAGGCTAGACTGACTGCTGTCTTGCCCAAACTAGTCCCAAAGAGACTGCACTTTACATTTCGAGCACTTTACATTTGAAATGTAAAGTGCAGTCTCTACCTATGGCTCCAATTAAAATAACTTATTCAGGTCTTCCATATACTTTTCTGTCAAGTACAATAATATAGATGAATGACACCCCACGATGACGTTGCCATTTTGTCGCATATGAGGGGTGTTAAGAGATTTTGACCAGGGTATGAAAAGGTTTGGTCATCTTTTACTCTTACCTTAAACTACAATCACCATGACAATACTATTAAAAAACTAGCACAATAAAATTTAAAACAAATCTACGAACACAACCAAGCATCACACGATCCAAATCACAACAGTTTTTGGTCACCTTTCTCTTAAAAAAGCTTCAGCTATGACCCGCAGGAGGCCGGTGCGCATGCGCAACGCATTGCTCTTTAAATATCCCCAGTCATCTGATGAAGCGCAACATTTATTGCAGCCAATCAGGGAGCGCGAAAGAGAAGGGCAGCGCGGCCTTCATTACTAGGGGCAACGCATTCACTGACAGATCAATAACGGACGACAGAATTCGCCTGTTCTTCACCCCTCTCTGAGTAAACCGACCTCGGATAGGCAGAATCAGAAAGGGACAAACGGACAGGGGGAGAGGAGGAGACAGACAGGAAAAAAACAAAGATGGCAGTGTAGATTAAGGGAAGGACTATCGAAGAGACTCTGCATCAAACTGATAACTTTTAGGCTTTCGGGCGAATCCGGATCGTGTCGGAGTGGTTCGGTTGTGATCGGAAGGTGGACCGGAGGGGAAGAGCCCGGCCGGGTCGCGGAGAGTCGCTGTGCGCGTGCTGTCACGGCGGATAACGGCACTAAACAACAGCCTGTTGTTTTGTTGAGTCTTAGCTGTTTTTTCTCTCTCTCTTCACAAGCTGAGAGCTGAAGCTTACCTGAGATCTATCCAAAAATACAGGCATTCATGTACGCCAAACCGCAGTAAAACACAGATGAATTTATATTCACTGTCCCATAACTTAGTGTCATATTAACGTACCCAAAATTTACCTATTTGAACTGACGCTTGATGTTTTACAACTGAGTGCATTGTTGGCTGTCCAGATCCCCCATCATTACAGGCCAAGTAGCTTGAAAAATCCTGGAAATCTCACCCTGACAATCAGCGGATCCTGTTGTTCGGCCAGCCCAAATATCCCCTGTGACTCATTCGGATGTCTTCGATGGAAGAGCGGATGGAATTAGGCGTCGCGGCCGCCCCGGGCTCCTCATCATCGGGTCTGGGTGTCGGTCCTGTGGGGGGCGCCCTGGATGCTGGCCCGGGGAGCGCAGGACTGGCAGGTATCCAGGAGGAGTCCGGCGTGCGGAGAGACGGTTCGGGTTCCGAGGCCGACCCGGACGCGCCGCCCAAGAAGCGCGTGAGGCAGCAGGAAGGAGAAGCGGGGAAGCTCGAGGAGCGCCTGTACTCGGTGCTGTGCTGCACGGTGTGTCTAGACCTGCCTAAAGCCTCGGTGTACCAGGTAAACAATGCCATTACGAGAAATCCTTATGCATGATGTATATATCATAAACACAATGCAGATATAAAATGTTCATAATAACACAGCATCCTCTTGGAATGCAACAGATAACAAGATATATATACAGTCCGTTATTATAGATATGAGACAAAGGGGGGTTATAAATACTTTTTTGTGAATCTTGTTGTCATTGTGATTCTTTGTCTATTGTTTGTCTATTCCTAAACGATATAGCTGATTACACACTGTCTGTGACTCATAATGTGTGATGAAATATCTAATAAAATGCTTGTTCTTACATTTGCCATTTCAGGTAACGTTACATGGTATTTTTTAAGAGCTGGTATCAAGTTATTTTTGTAGGTTTCAGATGTTACACTCAGAAGTAATATTGGCCTGAGCAGCTGTTTTTTGCCTTCAAAGGCAAACATGACAATCAGGGTGGTCACATGGCCTGTTTAACCCAATCACTGCTGGCTTCTCCTGATTACCCCTCCCCCAAATATGCACCCCATATAATCCCTTTGAAGCCACTGGCTAAACCAGCTGTAAAAGAACTTCCTCTCAAGCTTTCACACATTTTGTTGTGGTGTTTAGGTTTGCATGCCCTAGTTAACATTTTTACAAGTGTCCATTTATTAATCTAATGTGCTAATGTACAAACCAGTAGTCATTTATTTTGTTGGAGTATGTGTCAATGTGATGACTGCTGCACTGACAGGCCTATACTGAAACTAGAAAGGAAATATTAGACATACAAATAAAACAGAGTATGAGAACAACTGACATTCTCTCACATTAACCCCTAAAAGTAGCATGTGGTTCAGGGATGATGTGTCACACTGCATCAGCGCTATTAAGCTCATGCCATGTAATCCGTTTATTACTGAATCAAGGTTTGAATCCCATCAAATGAGGCGAACATGTGCAAGACCTGAAGCAAAACAAACAAGCCAAGAAGAACTCAAATCAGCTGCTCACTGAATTAATCAAACACAGACTCGACACTGCAGTTTACCTCCTGTGATATAGATCAGCTGGTGAATTAATAAGCCAGTAGCAGCTTACTAACATTGTTCAAATTATACTTTGAATTAATCATGAAACTAGAGTAATCAGTGTAATTATAGTTATACTAAAACGAAATATATCAAAATAATTTATTTAAAAAAAATGTTTTAATTGAAGTAAAGCTGAAATAAAATATCATTTTTATATGAAAAACTTTTTTTTATACTAAACTTTGCCTTGGTGACTAACTAAAATAAAATAAGTACTAAAATGACTAAAACTAAAATGTAAATAAAGCTAAGTAGAAATATTTTTTAAAACAAAAACTAATAAATGACAAAAGCACATAAAGTAACTAAAACCTTGAAACTAAAATGAAAACTTAAAATATAAAAAAGCTCATTCAAAATAAAATGTAAACAAAATAAAAATTAACACTTAGCATTCAGCTGTTTTTGACACTTGAAATTGAGTTGTGGCATAAAATGGATGAAGTATTGTCTTTGTATAGAGTTTAAAAAACAAATTAATGTTTTTATTACATGTATTTGTGAAAGTACATTTGGTAACTCTTTATTTTGCAGTGTCCTTGTTACATGTACTTACTTTAACAATAAATTACATATAATTACATGCAACTAACCCTAATCCTATAGTAAGTACAAACTGTTAATTAATATTACTGAATACTAAATGTGTAATTACACTGTAACAAGGACACTTTACAATAAAGTGTAACTTGAAATTGCTATGTTAGACACAAATGAGATAAAAGCAATTGACCATTTTTAGAACGAGTACATTTTTATACAAGGAATGAAAGGTTTTGAAACGGATTTTGTAATACCTCTTTCTTACCCTAAAGAGGTCATTTTTAAATTATTATTCATAATTATTTTTTCCCCATTAAGATCCACTTAAGTAACAGTGCTAAGCATTTTCTCTGTGCTGAAATGCTCTGCACATACTGTTAATTTCAGACTGAAACGAATTGGGTTCTTGTTAAAAATAATTTTAACTTTGCTAATCTTTGGGATTTTTACATAAGTATATGCAGAGTGGAAGGCACCACACACTGGGGGAACAGCCCAAGGTTTGACAAATGTTCCTTTATTTTATTAATTTTACTTCATTGTGATTATACTTAGTTGTGTTTAGGAATAATAACTTGTTACCTTATTACACCACAGTGACTGGGCACCCAGTAGGCTTCACTGATGTGTAAACGTGGACGTCTATGAGTTTACAATGTTTTCACATATATTTTCATAGCACATAATGCTTGTAAGTAAAATTAGATTCCTTGTGATATGATCTCTTTAAAGATGAACGTAATGCTGTCATTGCCACATTACATTCAGGCGGTTGTACAGATGCTTCAAAACTGAGGTTCCTTATTTCCCTTAAATCATTCAAGAAACTACTGCATTGTGTCAGACTTTTTGAGGAAAATTGGGAAATTCCATCATAACAAGAACAGTACATTTATTAAAAACACACTCCTTGAGAAGAAAACATACATTGTGTTAAGCATCAAAATCCCTGTGAAATCCCTGTTTATGTGTGCTCTTCATTTCACAGTGTACAAATGGGCACCTGATGTGCACAGGCTGCTTCATTCACCTGCTTGCTGATGCGCGTCTAAAAGAGGAGCAGGCCACGTGTCCCAACTGCCGCTGTGAGATCAGTAAGAGTCTGTGTTGTAGGAACCTGGCAGTAGAGAAAGCCGTGAGTGAACTGCCCTCTGAGTGCAGCTACTGCCTCAAACAGTTCCCTCGCTCCAGCCTCGAGCGCCATCAAACAGAGGAGTGCCAGGACAGGTACTGTTGCACCAATTCACAAAACAGACCCCCACATGAGCAAGATCATCTACAATACATATGTAAAGCCATAGGGGTGAATTCAATAAATAGATGTGCCATTTCGATTGTAATTCATGTATTTTCAGCATAACATGCCACCTTTAAATGTAAATTGGGATTGCTAGGGATCGTGCTATATTTTTTATCCAAAAAGCCCGGTGCTACTCAAGTCAGCATAAAATGGAAATTGCAACCACCTTTTCTTCTCTATTGTGTGTAGTTTATCCAAGAGTCGATGAGTGAGATGAGAGAAAATGTCGGGGGGACTTGATTTTGTCCATCAGGAAATGATTGGACCATTGTCGTTTGCTAATTTCTGCGATGGTTTCTTGTGAGTGACAGGTTGCTGGAGGGGAAGGACTGAATCTCATCTGGCCATTGGACAACCGTTTTTGTCCAGCCCTCGTGCCGGTGTTTGTCACGAGAGTGGAGATGTCTTTGCGAGGCGGCAGGAATGTTAATGTTTTTGATGAAAGATTATGGGGACACGTTTTTTTTTTTTAAAGAAAAAAAATGATATATCATCTATAATAAATACTGCAATATTCCATAAAAATAGTAATGGTCAATTTTGATTTCATGGTTAATTTAAAGTTGTGCTCTTATAACTTGTGAAAAGCAGGCAACATTTTGTTTAAAAGTGAAGTTTGTGTCTGTTCTAGTGAAATGTAATGAAAATAAATGAATAAATGCCCTTTATAAGCATTGCAACCAAGCACAAATCCAGACAAGTAGACGTTAAGCATTGTAAAAAGATTTTTAGAAGATGCTTTTTAAGCTTGACTTTTTAGAGTGATTCGACATTACTAAGATGGTCATGGAGTCATTGAGACTTTGGTGCAAATACAGAATTGCAATAAGTGGTGGCGATTCGTGTTTAGTGAATTCCCCCATTCTCCTGTCTTTATAAAGTCGACTTATAAAGTTTTCACAATACACATCGCTTAAAAAGTTGCTATAAAGAAAACCATGATGTTAATGTTTATAATATCTTGATATCTTCATGACTTGGGGCCCATTTACACCAAGGGCAGTAACTATAACAATAAAGATAGTTTTAAAAATCATTCTAAATGTAAAGGAATATGGAAGTCCACACCACAACTATAACGATAACAGCACAGAGGAAAGATATCATTGGAATCTCTTTGACAGCTGGTAAACAATAAAAACATTGACAGCCAATCAGAATCCATCCTGCTTTAAAAAGCTCAAGCAGTGGCAAGCAAAACAAATGTAGCACACTTAAAATAAACAGAACTTCAATGTGATATGGTGTGGGCACTACTATAGTAATCATTCTTGGTGTGAAAAAGCTTTTATAGTCACATTTAGCAGATTAGAGCTTGGCAATAATAGTTTACATTTTGCAAAGATGTAAACAAGCATTTAGTATATAGTAAATATCGCTTTATGAGAGTGTACTGTATGGATGCGGGTAGTTGGATATCATTTTCACAAATGATTTACTTGATTCATTGATGACTCATTTTATACTATATCTCTAGAGATGATGGTTGGTAATTTCTTTAATTGTTTCTATTGGAAATAGAGTGACGCAGTGCAAGTACAAGCGGATTGGCTGCCCGTGGCAGGGGCCATTCCATGAGCTCAGCGCCCATGAGGCAGAGTGTTCCCACCCATCCAAAACCGGCATGGAGCTGATGGGCATCCTGGACGAGATGGACCAGAGCCATCGCAGAGAGCTACAGCTCTACAACAGCATCTTCAGCCTGCTGTGCTTTGAGAAGATCGGTTTTACAGGTACATAAAAAGTAAATAGTTCACCCAAATATGAAAATTTGCTGAAAATGCACTCAACCTCAGGCCAGCCAAGATGTAGATGAGTTTGTTTTTTCATCGGAACAGATTTGGAGAAATACAGCATTACACCATTTGCTCACCAATGGATCCTCTGCAGTGAATGGGTGCCGTCAGAATGAGAGTTAAAACAGCTGATAAAACATGACTCCAGTCTATCAAATAATGTCTTGTGAAGTGAAAAGCTGTGTTTGTAATACATTCATCATTAAGATGTTTTTAACTTCAAAATGTTGCTTTCAGCTAAAATACTCCATCATAATGAATGATAATGCTTTCTCCAATTAAAAAGCTGTCTCATCTGAATCAAGAGATTCAGAAATATGCACAGATCAAACATCATTTATAAGCTAAAACAGAACTGTCTGTGGATTTCGGAAGTGTTATTATAGACTCGTGGCCAGAAGCGACTGTTTAAATTTAAAGTCTTAATGATGGATTTATTACTTCACAATACGTTAATCGATTACTTGTGGATTATTGTGAATTTCTCCAAATCACTTCTGATGTAGAAACAAACTCATCTAAGTCTTGGAC